GGCGTTAAATCGTTATTTCGTTATTTCGCTTGGCGTTATTTCGCGAGCAACAAAGCGAACAGACGAAATGTCATATATCAGCCACCATATTCAATTCTGCTACGACACCCTCCAGGGGTTCAAAGAGCAAAAGTAAGCGTAACCGCTGGAGTATCGAGGATGATAGAATTTTACCTTTTCGTTCGTTTGCTGTCATTTCATTTAACATGTTTTATCTACTTTTATTGGCCCTAATGATCATTTTCGGTTGATGGGCCGTTAAGAATCCAACAATACAAAATTGCATTCTCTTATGTAACGGAACGTTTCAAGTCGGCAAGAGTGCGCCACTTCTAGATCTGTTGAGCAGAGAAATGTGTACGAAATGTGCATAAGTGAGCTATTTTCTGAATGGAAACCGTAACATCCAATTTTGATTGTGAAGTTTATAGATCCGGATTCGTCTGTCTTGGCCGAAATAAAAATCATAGACGATTAAAATATATGTATACTTTACATTACTTTATTTTATCAAGAATAATTTTCGGCGATGTAAATTGCTCATGTTGGATAATGGCTGACAACTTGACAATTTCTTCGGAAAAAATTATTATCAAATAAAAAAAACATCAACTGCGTATACACGTCCAAACGTATGTCTAATGCTGCTCAAGGCAGAAGGCAATCATGAATCCATGGACAGGAAATCTTTCTAAAAGTTCTCAGATCGTTTTGCCCTTCCTCGCTTTGCCTTATTTACCAAAAGTTTCGATCCTTATTAATTAAATTTTAGCAAAATAATCCCATATGTTTATTAAAACTTAAATATTAAAACTATTATGTTTTATTTTACAGGCGGTTCAGGACGGCTTTCGATACCTGTCAACAATTGATTAGACTGAAAACAGTGTCAAGATGAATACGCCGGAACAGGAACTACGGCTGCAGGAAATCAATGACAGTTATGTTTCGATTCTACTTCCGGTAATCATAGTCATTGGAGTGCTTATGGTGTTGGGTTTATGCGGAAATCCGCTTGTTATCTATTTTTACGGATGCCGAATGAAAACCACGGCATCCTATATGTTTATTGTGACTTTGGCTATTTTCGACCTGTTATCTTGCGTGATATCTTTGCCCATGGAAATTTCAGACTTAATCAACTTTTACACTTTCGACAGTGCTGCAACATGTCGCGCTCTTCGTTTTGTAAATTATTTTTCTAGTATAGGTTCCGGGACGACTCTAATTGCAATAGCGGTTGACCGATTCCGGAAAATATGCAAACCTTTCGACGCACAGATAACCGACAAAATGGCTAGATGGATAATTGTTGCTGTGATTGGTTTTGCGCTGTTTTGTTCGTGGCCTTCCATTTTTCTCAACACGGTAATTCAGAAAAATCTAACCGAGGATACATCTGTGGTTGCCCGGGATTGTACTCTAAATCCAGCTGATGACTACAAATTATTTGTGACAATCTATAATTCGTTTCTTTTCCTGTGCTTTATCATCGTTTTCATAGTGCTTACAGCGTTGTATACGCTTGTTGGCAGACAACTATACAAGTTGCGTAGCTTCCGGTTCTACGCCACAGGCATCGAGAGAAACGTATCATCTGCTCGTCCTACGAGTTCGATGACGGTTGCGAGTGACATGACAAACTCCGAAGGCAGGAGCAGAACGGATGATTTGGCTGGTTTAGGGAATGACCTCAGGGACGGTTCACTTTCGCCTATCGGCGAAGACGACTATGCCAACCGTCGCCCTACCTCGGCCAATTCAATCGCGGTCAGTGCTCGGTCGCTGAAAATGGGTCCACACAAAGTTATCCCTCAAACAATGGATCCAGACCACGAGAAGGACATTGTAAATGGAGTATCGGGAAAAATTCGGCAAACTAGAAGTTTTACCGAAAAATCAGCCACCGAAAAAGTTCCGGAGAATAATCGTAGAGTAAGTTCGGCTACCATGGCGAACAAGGGGAAAGCATTTGGACAAAACAAGTATGGAAGCCCTATGCGTGAAGGGTCTGCTACATCAAGGATGTCATACGCGTCCACAGCAAACTCCATGGCGGAAATAGAAACACGTGACGCGTACGCTTCAGGAAATATTGACCACCGAAAGGAAAAGATGCGATCGCAAAATATAAACACCAAGCGATACACGATAATTGCTCTGTCCATAAGTATTGCGTTTGTTCTCAGCTTTTTGCCCTATTTGTGTCTAGTGATATGGTCAACGTTATTTATAACTTATGACCCGAACGAGTTCACGCCAGCACAGCTTGTTGCCAGTGAGCTTTTTCACAGGTCATTTTTATTCAACTGCGCCTTAAATCCAATCATATACGGCTTCCTGAACACGGAATTCAAGAAAATGGTTTTCGGACAATGTGCAAAACTTTTCTGTTGCTGCTGCAAAACCAGACACAAAGAGGGAGATATGGCTCATGCAGAACTTAGTGGACTGTCCCGGTCTACGTAATTTACGTCATTTCCGCTGCAGTATTCTGCAATAGACAGAACGACCACGTGTGCTATAGGATCATGTATGCCTTTCTGGTCTGGTGACGATTTTACACAGTAAAACTCTTACATGATTTGTGGAGCATCACCAATCGTCTTCCAGTTATCAGCACATCTCCTTTTTTTT